AGAGGCGGTCAACCAATGACTTGGCAGCGAAGTATGAAACCCATTACCAGCAACCTCAGCTGCTCTGGTCACTGCCATCTTCCCGGATGGAGACCCAAGACGGGCCACATCAATGCCTAGAGACATTGTCAAACATGGCCCAGTCGCGCCCTCAATGGTGCTCGTGCATCCAAGCTATTGCCTTCAATGCATAGCTCCTTTTCCAACCCCCACTGACAGTGCTGGATTTATGCAACAATTTATCGGCTCCCGCCTGCAATGCGCAGATACTCTCCGCCCCCCCAAAAATCATCGGTGAGCGAAAGTGCGGCAGCTACAACCACTGTACGATGAGTACGCGGTTATTACAGCTGACACTGATGATGATGAGTTGTATTAGCTCTGACGGAAGTGTGTCTGATGAAGCCAGTACAAGAATCTCAAAGGCTCGAATCACGTTTGTTAATTTGCGTCACTTGTGGCGTCAAAAGGGCATCTCACTGGATCTTAAGGGTCGTGTGTACCAGGCTACAGTAAGGGCTGTGTGTTTTGTATGGGTGCGAGTCATGGCCTCTGCTGACAGACGATGTGAGGCGTCTTCAGATTCTCGACCACCGATGCCTCAGAAGCGTGGTTGGTTGTGGATGGCGTCAGCGTGTCAGTAACGAGGCGATTAGAAAAGAGTATTTGGTTGTGCTGCAGGCACCTCAATCCGGGAAAACATCCAGCGTCATCGACTGTGATGGCTCGGTCATGTGCTACGCATGCCGAAACACCGTCTACCGAGACGGGTGTTATTCTCCGTGCCTCCTTCAGGATGGCGCAAACCGCGTGGTGGACAGCACATGACTTGGCAGCAAGGCGTGACAGGTCTTCAAAAGGTTCCATTTTATCGTTGTCAGTAAGTCGGCTGCGCAGTCAGCCGGGCAGTTGGTCAGTCAGNTCGTGTTTCTGAGGCACAGCACACATCAATGCCAATCGAGTTCAGTGTGGGATCATGGGAAGCTTGTTGACTTGCTTGCTTCAGAGTGCGGACATTGAGGGCGGCCAGATAAACTGGCGTCTAGGCCTGAAGATTGATTTGATGATCTCGGAAGATGTCGGCGCCATTTGACGAGCAGATGCTGCATGCAAAACCGATGCAAGACGAACGGAGTGATCAGTCCTAAGTGCTGCGCCTACAAAGGGAGAATTAATAATGGGGTGGGAATAGGGGGAAGAAAAAGGTTGTGAAAGAGAAAGAAGGGAGGCGTCAATAGTAGCCTGTTTTTGCTTACCCGCCTTGCTGTATGCAGCGAGTAAGGCGATCCGGCCGATGTTACCACACGACGGCAGATGTGGCATGAGTCTATTGTTAGACGTAGGGATCATTGTTGTACATGGGCTGGGATACTGCCAGGGCACCCACACTTGGACAGGAGGACTTTTAAGTTCCTCAACCAAAGCGTTTGGCTCCTAAGCCTAATCGCAGGGCAGCGGTGTTTGGTTGGAGATGCAAGTGCATTTCACTTTCTACGATGTTCCAACCCCCACTGTGGAGGACCAGGACGGTTGTGTTCGTCAGACCTGTAACCATTGACCACCCTGTGAGTGTCGCGGTGACATTCTCCAGTATAGCTCAATGGATGGCTGAGGTACGCAAGCCATCACACCACTGTAAGGTCCAGTCTCTTCGTGACTGGCAGGGCCGTCTTAAATCTGGTACATAACTTTACCATGCTGGCGAAGAATGTCATGGCATCCACTTGGAGTATCTTCCGCCGCGGTCGCAAACGAACTCTCTAGACTTTGCTAAGGGATTGCACTGGTTCGCCATTACGTTGGTTGAATTATTTCTCCGTTCTTATGTTGCGGTGACTCATTTGCTTTATCTGTGCCCGGATAGTTGCATGCGTTGTTTGAAGCTTCTGTCGGAGCAGTGCCTCAGCTGGTGACACCCTATCAGGCAAATCTGGGTTTATATTTGCTAGACATACCGGCAGTGACCTTTGGAAAACCTCTTCCGCCGGTCCCTCCCCTTTGGAATTCTGAAGTGCACGCTTCAGTGTCATCGAAGATTTTCCACTGGTCGTTCGACTTTGGATGAAACGAGGGCGAGCGGACAAGCGTGACAACATACTCTCGATAGGATCCTGTGAACGTCAGTGACGTGAACTGAATGCAGTTATCGAATAATAGTCCCTCGCGTTTCAAGGCGACTGAACAATTATCGGAGTTCCAGGACTGCGGGGCCGGGGTTCGGTTGGCTTTGGCCACTACCGGCGTCTTAGGTGCTTCACCACACTGCAGGCGTGATATCGGGGACTGTTCATTCTGGAAGTCCATCAGAAATCAGTGGAAGCAACCCCTAGCAAGGGCCTTCATCTTGTTTGCTTCTGGGTGCCCTTTATGAAACTGATTCAGTACAGCTGACTGCAGCTCTTTCATGATGATACCGCATTCTGAACACGAAGGGTATTCTTCGACTAGTGATCGTGCGTCAGGATGGTTGAGGCAAGGTCTCAATTCGTCTTGTAGGCATGTACGCAGTCATTGACTGCGGTGATCCTTGGTGACCTGGCACAGGGTCTTAATCGGCAGCCCGGCGAACTATGTCAGCAGTCTGTGGGAGGGCGCGAACTACTCCCGACACTACGCGGTTCACCTCAGGCTCCGAGGCTATTGTTACGACTATGGCGTGCTGTGGTCCTGGCTTGCTTGAATCAATGAGGCGTGACGGTGCTGGGCTTGTTCGGGGCAGATGGTCGGCTGGTGTTTGATCTTAAACTCTATTCCAGAGGCAGAGTACCCATCACCAGAGGCTATCTGTCCACACCGGGACCCCGTGGAATTACGAACCCAATTCTTCCTTTCGATATTTGGGATTGTTAAACCTACGTGTCACTTTAAGTTTCGTATCGGGAACCTCAACGTTTTGTCTTTTCTGGATGCTCCTTTTTCAAACACACCTAAAGCTATTAGAGTTGACTCAATGCCACCAACAAACTTGTTTGCGACTGCCCAGCGTTGGATCTTTTGTCTTGTTTTTACCTTTACACTAGAACTCCTTCCAAAACGCTGATATGGTTTTATCGCGAGGCACCGTGCTATTCGCCCTTGAAGCGTTTTCGGTGCATGGTTGCCATGCCCCCGTTAGCATAATGAAGGCTGAGATACTATCAAGCTGCCTAATCTTAGAAAAGCAAAAAGCCGTTGCTTGTTTCGAACCGCCATTTGGCGTTTACTAGCTGATGCCTTCACCGACAAAAAAGAATCGTTAAGCTGTAACACCCTTTCGGTGCCTAGCTGCCATGCCGCCCGAAGGAAGCACAAGGGCTGGGATACCGCCAGGTCGCCCAAGCCTAGACAGGGGGAGTCGAGAGACAGAGGTCAGGTTCGAACCACGGACCTTCAGGTCAGTAAATTCGCGCTGTAACCACTGAGCCATCTCGTCCCCTGCCATCACTGAGTTTTTTGAACCCAGCTGTCAAGGTTATCAAGAAGTGTTTACTCCTTTTTGTCCGTTTTTCAGCTTGTAGGCTGTTTGTGATGTAACATCTCCATTATCACTTGTTTTCAGCATGTTCCCACTGATGGAAAGCGTGCTATTTTGCGTCGTCCCCTTGCTACCCACTCTCCTACTTTGCTATCTATGCCCATATTCCAAAGTGGAAGAAAGTTTCAATATACAGGCCATTCATGATATTGCACTACTCCGAACTAATATAAGTTCAGTAAGATAATACCGCATGCTGTCATCTTTTTAAAGTATGATCATCATAGTTTCCCGGGGGTTGTCCCAAGAACATTCATTGGGAGCTTGATCGTGTATGCGCTTACTTGTTTACCTTTGACCCTACTTACTCAGCTAGATGTTTCGAAATACTGGATGCAGCTGCTCGGTAACGTCCCATGCTTTCAATTAAACCATCATTCTAGTGCGATTTGCCCTGGGTTTCTTGAACGTTTTATGCTTTTCCCGGTTTGTGACTGTTGTCAAACAAACTCTGGGACGGCTTGTCGCCTGGCGTCTAATGTGGATTACCGCCAGCCAGTTTCATTTCTTTTACTACGCCTCAAGAACCCTGCCGAACACTTTCGCACTGAGCTTCGGTAAGTCATCTAGGGCTTGAGTTAGGTTTGCTTGTTCACACACACGGTTGTGCACATGTGCATACCAATGCTCGTGCTTCTACCTGATAGTGTGGCCTAGTAAGTTGTTTCACTGACTGTTCCCCATGCATGGCGGCATTTTCTGTGATATCCGAGAATACAAGCATTGCTGTGTTGCCATGACAATTTAACTTGTAGTACCGAAATAGATAATATTTGAACATAAATCCATCTAATGTCAACACTGGTGTTTCTGTCTCTGATAGTCGTGATAAATCCGCCCTTTGGAGGATGCAACGACTGCGGGATTCAAAGTATCGAATCCAGAGCTGTTCCACACGCAATCGTCCATGAAGTGTTCTTTTAATCCGCCCAACAAAACAACTTACATCACTGGGTCTTAATCTGGAATGTCGGTACTCCTTATTAGTGCTAGACCCGTCAACTGGGGAAAGAGAAGAGCACGTTTCTTTGGAAGACGCAATTAATGTATGAATGACCTTTTAGCTTGGCTTCAGGTTAGCTTTCTGAAAACACAATCTAATATGAGTTTCATTCATTTTGTGGTGACCCTACGTTTGTTGGTTCCTTGCGACAGACCCGAGGAAAGTCTCCGTCCGCGCATCAAGCTTAGAGCTACTCGTGTCGGGCACCGTGCTCCCTTGTGTGAACTGTGCACCGAAACAGTCCACAATTCAGTTATGATTAACGACAACCAGTCCCCGTTACAACGTTCAGTAATTCGGGGAAGGGTGCGAAGAGTGTCAGGTTTGTGGTAGGTAGTGCGAGCTGAGGAAAGAAGACGAAGAACCACTGGCTTAGGATAAGTCAGATGTGCAGCGACGGACTTATTGGTTCGTTGCACTTGCAAATTTTGACATTAACCATGCATTATTTTACTTACGTTTGCTCACGATATGTTGGTTGGAATTGAACGCTTTTGGAGTGTATACATTTTCGATGACGACTTACGGCGGTACTTGTTTCTGCTAGAGGCCATCTCTATCTAGTTTTAACCACTCGAAAGGGAATATAAATCCAAAACAAGGTATTTAAATTAACGCAAATATCGTTTTTGAGTCTTTGAAGTAGTCAGTTCTTTCTCACCCAAAACTGTCTGAATTTTAAGGATTTTCGAATACTGTGTTGGGTTTTAATAAAATGCATTTATGTCCTTCCTGTACAGTTTTACTTTCGTTGGCATCCTTACTACGGGGACGTGACAAAGAATTCATCTGCTTGGCGGGCTTCGCTGTTCTCGTTTTCCGGAGTGAATTGCTCTTGTTCTACGGCCCTTGCTTCATCTATGGCTTACTTCAGGGCATTGTTCGGATAAATTTCATGCTCATTCTAACTGCCTTGTTGACAGCGTTTGGCAGCATTAGTAAGTCGCTCGGTTAGGCTAAGTTCTACTGTTTTCATTGTAGTTTTCAGTGTTCTGGTTGACTCTTGGTTCTGGCAACGATGGGTCTGGCCTGAGGGTGAAGTGTTTTACTACAATGTTGTATTGGGTAAAAGTAATCAGTGGGGCGTATCCTTTTCCCTATAAACGATGTTGACCAGTTAACTATATTCGGAGACAAGTTTGCATGCTTATACGTTATTTGTAACAATTCAACCGCAGTATTACTTCCTTAACGAATCGACGCTACCAGACTTCTCCGTTTCACTGGTATTTCACGTCCGCGCTGCCCCGAGCTCTACTGAGCACGAGCTTACTTCTTCCTGTTTGGCTGGGACTTGCAGTTCTCCTGTGTAGAAGGAAGCAACCGAGTTCGAATCGTCTTGTTGCTTTTCTCCCAACTGGCCTTATACTCTCTGCTTTGCTGTTCGTTTTGTTGTACTCATGGCTCCCGCACAAAGAGCTGCGATTTATCATCTATGCAGTGCCAATTTTCAACTTGGCTGCGGCGTTGGTTTGGGCTCACGTGTAAGTCTTCATTTTTCCATGTATGCACGGTGTTGGTTGCTGGAGTCACCACTCCAGTATCACTAGGACTGTTGCATGGTATATGGTTGAATGGATCTTTTCAGAGAGGCCTGTCTACTCTGGTTGACGATGACGCTAGCGCACCTTTAGAAAGACCATCTGAAGAAATCTACCAATGATAATCTCAGAGAGGGATTTTGTCACTGAAATATAGTTCCAAAGATCAAAAAGATGTGGTCAGTTCGTTCGTCATAGGGGACAAGTGTATGGTGAGAGCTGTTCCCACATGTAGGGAGAAACTAAACACCCATAGTTATCCTTTCGAGACTCACAACTTTAGATGCCAAATACTGAATATAGATGCATATCAAGAGCATCGATAGTAACACTTCGGTAGTAAATAACGCCACAACTTCCAATATTCGACCATTGGAGATGGAAATAATCCAGCAGTGGTAATTGGTCAGTGATGCACAGCGAGGTGTGAAAATTACCAGCAACTTTTGTTTCAGGAAAATTCAGAAAACAACCCTCGGATTTGTTGCCCCCGGACGTTTCGTATTTTGTTCCTCAGGCCAAGTAAGAAAATTACAGATTGGTTGAGGTTAAAGGCGGGCTGTGAAATCACTCAGCCAAAACTATTTCTTATCTCCGGTCAAATCAAATGATTTTTCCTCGCAACTTGTTGACTGATTCGGGTGAATTAGGTTCGGTGTATTATGGAGGAATTTGTATGAATTCACGTGGATTCGTGGTTAAGTCACGAAACTACTGACCGGGAGGTCCTTGGTTCAAACCCAGCCCTAGCTACTCGATTGCCTGTCTAAGCTTAGGCAATGTGACAATTTCTTGACCTTCATACTTCGAGTTGTACAGCAGCTTTGCACTGAAAGGATATAACAGCTGGACAATTATCGGTATTGTTATGCCCTCGGTCATGTGCTTATCATATTATCCACCTGGTTTTTGAGGTATGACACTCTGCTTTTCTGATTTAGTATTTAGGTCTCTTGTCTGTTGGTACTTTGAGAATGAAGCCACACATTTTGTGGTTGTATTCAAACATTCTTTTGTAGCACAGATACATCTTTAGCTATGTACCTATGACCATTCTACTCACGTTATAATCTAAAGTTTTTCCGAAAAGTAGCTTGTTTCCTCAAACAGTAGTCGATCCGATGAAAATTACCGTATTACAACAACTGGTAAACACTCCGCCCTTCTCTATGGACTTTCTAGAACAGTGTCTTGGAAAGTAACTATGCGTCCTCACTTCACTCGTGAAAGTTTTTATGGCTGTGTGTTAAAGCGCAGAGGACATAAGTTAAACATCTCGTTCTAGAAAAGTAAAAATGACCGGTACCATAGAAGATAGGTTGCTTTTACGCTACTCGCCCTATTCGTCGACATTAAGCAACTTTATTTCTGATAACTCAGTGGAACTCTTGAATGCTCCCCAATGCCATTCGGTATCCACTTAGGCTGTAAGGAAAATGTTAAGATATTGTAGCTCTGAGCTTGTGTCTTTGAAAGAATGTTTATTCGGGTTAACGTGGTGGCTCTCATCTGGCCCTGGGAACTAATAAAACCAAGAAGAACATTCACAGATGGCATTCAGTAGCTTTTTTCTTGACTCGGATCTTTTGTTCACACTTTTTCCACAACTTATGGAATATCGAGGGTATATCAAACCAAGCTCATTATTCCTACTGTCTACCAGAGCACTTATTTCATGACACCGAAATTCAGCTGACAACGGGTATTTAAAGTCATTTTATACCCACAGGTACCGTTCGTGCGCAGTATTTTCTTGTTTCTGGGGTGTAGTTGTTCTGAGTTCTCTTTTGAGGGAGAGCATCGGGGGCAAACAGTCCTGCAGACTGTCCATTTCGAGGTTTGTATGAAGCCGTGGGGGTCAAGTCCCTCAGATAGAGGAGCCATGACGGCTTCTCTGAACAGAACCTTCGTACTTTGGACTGGAGATGGAAAGAAAGCGTGACCAATGAATTGTGAACACACCTTATCAGTGTTTTTTTCGATTACTTCTAACATCACCGATTCGCCTTGGCGGAGTGATTATATTCGATGATAAATACGTCGTAGCAACAAGTATGTTTTTACGAAAACCTTATTCTTGCCTACAGGGAAACGGCTGTTAAGCGACGCTCTCCTAGTGGGAAGAAGGCGAGTGACAACTCCCTCTGGTGCTCGTCACTAAATTGGTTTCAACGCGTGTTTGTCTGGTTCTGTTACCTTCATCTTCTTGTCAATCTGCTTGGCACGACAGTGTTGGTCCTAGTTTCCATGAAGAATTACCCTGGTGGTGAGGCACTGAACCGACTCAATCACCTGCCGCAGTTGGCTGAGCGACGAGGTAGGTTACTCGATCCCTACTGCATTTAGTTCGGTATGTTGTGCTTTATTCCAAGCGGGTGATCGTGAGACTGTCTCATCAAGTGATCGAACCCAGCTATGTTTCGCTTGATTATCCGACTCATTGTACTATCCTTGAATGCTGTAAGGGGCGTTAGATCTCCTTAGGTACTGCTCTTTTAGGGGATCGCATGACAGAGGACACTAGGCTCAGTAACAACATTTATCAGCGTGTTCCTATCCAGTCAGTTCTTCTTACTATGGAGGATGGCTGACTCTTTTAAACTAAACATAGACTATTTTCAAGTACCGTGTACAGTTCACCCATTGAAAAACGTCTCCGTGCCATCCTTCGCTATATTTACAACATTCCTGATAAAAATAGATGAGAACACACAACATATGCTTTCCTTCGCTCGATCGATAAGGATGATGTACTTCTAACTACTCTTGTGGTTTAAGTAAACTGGTATCTGGCTCCTCTGTTAACTTTAGCAGACTGAATGCGTGACGTGAACTTCATAAATCCTGTAGCAGTTATTCAGGCCACAACGGATAACGCGAACCCCAAGACGGACAATTTTCCTGTTGCCCAATGGATTTTCGTTTGGAAATTATCACCGTACACTTCGAGGTGTCAGTAGTGATGTTCGATTTTGATATAACAACTGGATCAGGAAGACAGGGGAACCCATGGCTTCTAGTAACTAGCCATTTTCTCAGCTAGTACTCAGGGTCGAAGGGACTAGAGACTACGCATAAAAATTGAGTGCGACGGCTACACACGACGGTCCACACAAGACAAACGGTTAGGGAATTGCACACCAGGATTGATGATCGCAAGAGTAACAAGCCATCGAGCAATGTGGATTAATATTGTATGCTGGGCAAAGACCTGGCGGTGACAAATGTGCTTGGAAGTTTTGAAGCGGGGATTACGACTTTTACCACAGCGAGTGACTGTTGAGGCGTTGGAAAATGTCAAGAACTCCTATGTGAAAAGAACAATGTATGGAAACTCTAGATCAACCGAGTTGACGCGCGACTGCGTGCAGTTGGGTAATCATTAGCCAGAATGGCTTAAACCTGAGATTAGAAGCCGAGCCCGGCCAAAATATGTAGTCCATTCTATCCGGCTTAACGTTGCGCTAACTTAGCCACACAGATAAAGAAAAATGTACGGACGCCATAGAGGGATCTTCCTCAACTGCTATGGACTACGACAACCAGAACCCAGCGGACGATACCTAATGCTGATTCAGCCTCCCATTCTTGAGACCTTACCCGTTGCTTCTTCATTTGCCAACCTTGTAATTTGATCACTTGCTCTGACAAAGCTATTGTTTCAAAGTTAAAGTGCTCGTTGTTTCCCAAACTCTTATGAAGTGGTGATCACTTCACCACTTGATGGTCGCATAATCAACTGTGGATAGCTGTTCCTGCCGAAACCAAATGATTTGGCTTAGTTACAACAACCTCCTGTAAAAAAACACAGATTCTCCGTAATCCAGCAGAATTGCACATGTTGGCCCCCCCCCCCCCCCCCCGAGCAACCGTCGGCACCACACATGCTCACATCGATAGCAGCCTCCTAGTGTTGTTGATATACCCTACTTCCACCTAGTGACCCACTATGTGACAGGCTTTTCCCGTTTGCGACCGTGAATCTGTGCATAGTACTCGCAACTGCAAGGTTATTCAGCTCTTCGTAGTACGTTACGACCGAATTTGCTTGGCTTTTTCGAGGTTGTATTAGAGATGAACGGCTATGCCGAAGTACGTGGTGTAGGT